TACATCAGAAATAGAACCCTTAAATAAAAATAAATAAAGTCTTTTATTTTGAGAGGGTAGCACGTAATAGTCTCTAGTCTAATAAACTTGTGGCCCTCTATATATTCACTCATACTCACTACCTCAACATTCATTATTTTACTACACGACACTCCTCACAGCTAGTTTTTGACTGAGGGAGGAAAACCAGAGGACCTGGAGAAAAACCCTCGGAGCAAGGAAGAGAACCAGCCTACAAACTCAAATCACATATAGTGATACCTTTAGTGTTGTATTTTAATTTATGACATGCCGACGTCCAGATTCAGCATTTGGTTGCATGACGCTAACCGATCCAGAATCGTATTGATTGGTTGGTTAGTTGGTTGGTTGGTTGATTGACTTGGTTGATTAGTTGATTGACTTGCTTGCTTGGTTGTCGATTTTTCAACTTATAAGAATGCTGTTTATATTTTTTTTCAGGAGAGTTTGTTTCCAGATTCAGATGATTACTCAAACACAACAGAATATATTCATTGTACAAGTTTCCTCAATGTGACAATAAAATATACCCTCGAATCAAGCCTGTATATAATGTTGTGCATTTTATCAGTTTATGAATAACTGTCTATGTAATCTATTCTGCAGTCTTGTTTGAATCGTTTTTGCTTTTCTCTCTTGTTTTTTGTTATAGATGATAATTATACTATTATACGTCAATGTTTTGGAACCTCTTAGCACCTTCATTGGCCAAATAACGGCATTACAGCGTTAAACGATTGTGTCTTTTGACTACAACTTCCTTATCATTGTGCCCGCATTTCCATTTTTATTCAGATTTTTAGTTCCCTTAGAAAACTAATACTAACGATTTTGATAACTAATTTCAAATACGTGGGCACAACATTCCGTCATTTGTAGCACCTCAGTGTTTGTTAAGCATGTACCAACCAGAAAACGTTTGACTGTCTGAACGAAGAAACTTATGAAAAATTATTGTAAAAATAGCTGTCGTATTTACATTACAATACGTTTGCGAAGCCAATAGTTATAACTTGCTCGAAAACGCTAGGGTCCCATTCGTACGGTAGTATTCACTTGACACTTGAACGGTTATATAGTTTTCATGTTTGCACCATTTGAATTGATTGATTGATTGATTTTATATAGTTTTCATGTTTGCACCATTTGATGTTTGATTTCTTTCTTGTTTGTGATGTCATCGCTAATTGTGTGAATAGTCCATCGATAATGAGGTGGTGGCCAAGACAAATTCAGATCACAGACAAACAAAACATGACGTATAACATTGAAACAAGTTGTATTGTGGCATATTGCGCAAATCAAAAARAMWTTTTTCAGCACATAACGCGCAAAATSATTCATTTTACAGATAAGCTTAACACTTGAATAAAAGATCTTAGACATCTCAAGTTTGTTTATAACGGGCGTTATTGAGATAGGTCCGATTTATATGTGAAGAGCCTCAAGTTCCGCCAACATGATATTAAGCCTAAACACCTGCTTCATGGCGGATTCAGAGTACTAACTTTGAAATGCTAAGTCATAGCCATCAATCTCTTTTTCTTGCCGGATATAATTACAAATCGACTGCACTTCGCTTGCGAGCACTCGACAGATCACCTTTTCCACTAATAACCGCACAGCTAGTCACAGACCTTACATGTACTAAATCAAGTAGTTATCTCGCGGGCTATTTTAACTATTTTATTCATTGCAACCATTCATCTATTCATTTTTCTTGCTTGCTTGTCTTTGGTTGCTTTTTCTCGACTGGTTTCAGAGTTTATTTCTTTCGTTTGTTTATATAACTCACAGTTTTTTGTATGCTTGTGAGAGAGAATTCTTGTAATGCCTAATGGTTAGATTTCCGCTTGTTTCGTTGTCTGATACTAGTATTTGATTGCTAGGAGTGTCGATTGCTAGTCATTTGATTCGATACGAAACAGTAAAGTTCACTGAAAAGTTGAAAAAAAGGAAAAGATGGAACTAAAAACGATATAAGAACAAGATTTTCCAAAGTTTGCTTAATGATTGAATAGTAGTCATTATAGTGCATTCATGAAAATACAAAAACTGTRCTCTTGCCGCCAGGTGACTAAAGCAGTACTCACAGCCTTTTTTGTCAACGCTTAGGCTYGCTCGCTGTATTCTCATCTTATTAAAAATTGAGGTTAAATCCTTCAAAATGCTGGATCGTTTAAAACGTGGAAAGAATAATAATGTATAGTTTGGCCGACTCTACGAAGTCGAAGCGATAAATGAAATCATTGTCGGTAAAACATCAAAAGATTCAAAAGAAAAAAGGACGAATATGTAAATCGAGTACGACCAGTTGTTTTTATACTGYCTTGTCAAAAAGTCGTACTTGTGTAATTTGATGAGTATCTTGACCACTGGAAACTATGAAACTCGAAAGTAGTCTACTTTCCAAATACATGTTCGAAAATGAACATGAAATRTATGACTTTTAATTCTAATACTTAAATGAATATATCAAAAAACGTACAGCAAATGATCGTTATTAATGAAAACACGGTAGTATGTTTGGTTATTTGAAAAATAATTCTTTAAGTTTTGAAATTGTACTGCAATGTGGCGGAGAAAAGCGGGTTTGTATTCAAAACGCTACTGAAACTGTCAATCAATGATGACGTCATATGTCGATACAGCTTTTGTATAGTCTTTAGTACTATGTTCGAGCTTGTCCAACGTTGTATTTCTGCCTAGATCCTGCTTTGAGAGGCTGTTCTGAGCATTATTTCCAGACACACTCGTTAAAGAAAAGACACCTTATGTGGTCTAAATAAGCCTGTCACGGCAAAACATGGCTTTAACTCTTGGTATGGCCAATACAACACAATGGCCACCACGTCCACCGCGATGCAGCAGTGGAGGAGGACCGAAGTTTAAGCTCTTACATGAGGGAGACATTCAAGTCTGTCGATTAAACCATAGCAGAACTTTGATTAGTAAAGTATTAAGCTCTAAGTTYCTTAGAAGATGGGAAGCTCATCACATTACTTTGGGTGATTTTCAAATATATTCCTCTACGGTAAGGATGTGTTTGCTGAGTGTCGTGCAGTCTTGTAGAACTTTTGCCAGAGACGGTTGTTCGTTCATGTTTATGTTCATTGTTACCCATTGCTCCTTTTTTTCTAACAAGAGAACGAAATTCTTGTAATCGTTATGTAAAGCATGCCATTTCGATTTTGCTTTCGATTTGTACTTGTCATTATCCGTTTACTTCCCTGTTTTTGGTTGCCACTAGCTATCATTTGAACACCCTATACCTACAGGATGTTCGTACTTTAATATCCTGTTTTATTTTTACATTTGGTCGTTAATCCTAGAATATTTGTAGTAGTAACGAAGCAGCAGCCAGTACATGTATACCAAAACAAAGGTCATGGGCCGTGACAATTTCTTTCTGATCAAAGAAGCTTCGAATGAGTTCGTCGAAAATTCATAACATTTAAACTTATACTAACTTGATTTTCCATTAAGGGTATTGACTATTATTTTTGGCAGCTTTTGCATTTAGGTCACGTTGTTACAACTATACTGAGAGTATATGCGCAGTTTGATAAATATTTTCGTGTTAAAATGAGAGTTCATTTGATAACTCTTAATCAGCTAAGCGTGTCCTTCAATAATTTGAACTGTTCTATCATATAGTTTTCGTATTTTGGAACATTCGAAATGGATATCAATAGTTTTGAGTACTGCCCAGAAAATTATTAAGCTTAATCCTTGGTCAGAAATTTGCATGTCGTGAATTTGAAATTATGAGATCTGTTTTTACATTGTCAAATTGTCATGCTATGCAATGCAAACAGACTGACGCAAGGTGAACAGATGCTCTACTATCATGAAAGAAATATTGGTTGCTTGCGGTTTTCTTGAATGCCTATGGATGTGCTTCAGTGACAATCTTTCTGTATTAATAGACCATAATTTCCTACAACTCATCTAACATTTACTGGATGTGATGCAAATTTATCACTTAAACTCTTGTTGTGCAGACAATCTCATCTTGTTTGCAATGACATATGGGTGCTAGGCCATGTGTGATAGGCTACAGAAATCATCTAATAGCCTATGTAATTGATAAGGAGGTTGAATGAATATGCATGATATATTCTAAATTTGAACTGGGAACATGTAAGATGCAATGGTATTGAATGGGTGTGWATAAACCTCACTCACTGTCTGCTTATTTTCTTACAAGTATGAGCTAACAAATATCCTGACTTTACTTATTTAATAAAMCTTCAGGCATTTCTACCAAGGCAGGGTTAGTAATGAACTATTGTTAGAYATCAGGGGCTAACAAAATTGCAAATTCACCATTTCAATGCAAGGGAAATAGAATTTCTATACCTTTTCTCAAATAAAGAGTTCCATAAAGATTATTCATATAATWCTGTCAATGACAAAACCAAAAATTGAATTCTAAACTATATATATCCAATGATAACTTGTGGTCTGGCTGCTTCAGGCTTCGCCAAGGACAACRCTAACTGATATATTTGAAATTATTTATCATTATTATGATTAGTGTATTAATTATATTGTTGTGTATATAGTTCCCTGCAGGTTTTATGGACACACCCGTACCATATCATGACATCCAAGATGTGTATACAGTTAACCGATGGGATACTGGACAGCATTTTTGTATTCGCATAACAATTCCTGATGGATCTGTGTTATTGAGGGTATGTTGAATATCTTGCTATAAGACCAGACCTCAGAGGCTTGCTTGCTTAGATTATTCAACAATAAACAAACATCACAGCTAGGAACTGCTATATTTTTTGCATGGTCAAATGAAGTATGATCTAGGGCTATTAGTAAAGTTAATTACATATTAAATACAGTGTAAGCAAGCTGATGATTCACTATTTGTTAGTAATATTTGACTCATAAATCAGTACAGCTACTTGTAGCATACAAAATGTGATCAAAATATACAAAACAATGGTATGGTATGTAATGGTATGTAATAATTGAGGCAGAAGTCAAAGAATAAGAAATTAATACCACATAGGCACTTACAAAAGTGTATGAATTTCCTTTCAATGATGCCTGGCTAGAATTTTGAATTTGTGATCATTTGAGACAACGAATAAATGAAAGAATGAACAAATAAGAGGATTGATAGATAAATTCATTAATGAGCTTATGGATTAATTCATGGATGGAAGAATGGATGAATGAATAAGTGCAATGCGAAATGAGTGGATGGATGGATGGAAGATGGGTAAAGGAAAGTGAATAGAGGGAAGGAAGAATAAACAAGAGAAGAAATAGACAAATGGAATGGTATGATATAGATAAATGGCTTTGATATGAACAAATAATTAATGAATTGATATATATTTTAAAGAAGTTTAAAAAATCATTCCCTATTTTATTATTATTAAGATTTTATTATGTTGCTTATGATATAAATGTGAATTTTTTAGGCACCTAATGCATATTTGAGAGATCAATGGTTGCATTCTATAAAGTGGAAGGTAAGAAATAGATAAAAGACAAACATGTGCTTTGAGCACTCCCTTCTTAAAGATTTTTAACTTTATAGTTAATATATTGGAAGAAAGACTACAAGTCTCTGCAATAATTATTAATAGGGACCTTGCATCCATAAGTAAAATGAGTCTGTCAAGTTTATTATTGATAATATGTTTTGAGTCAAGCCAGTCATCACAGACGGAAATCGTACATCTACTAAGACCATTTTTGCACTGTCTCTTATAGTTGTCGAGTCTTTATATTCACTGTKTTATGGTACTCATGATATGGAATTTATTTGTTCAGTATTTAGATGAACAAGTTTTTTCATTTGATTTTTCACATAATTTGTTTCATATATTTTCTTCAWTGTTTGTTTACTTCCATACACCTGAATTAGTTAAAATCATTAAGTTATTCAAGTATTTCAATCTATTGAGRTTTATTAAATTTAAAGAATCTTTCACATTGAATAAAAAATATATTTTACTTAGCTACTGTGGTGGGGCAATCAAACAGAATTTATAATAGAATTTGAAGACGTCAGTGCAGTTGTCGGTCTGTGACTACAAATGACCAGCTGCCTCTGTTTTAATTTCTTTGAAATTCCCAACAAATAGATAAATAAGAAGTAAAGCTGATGAAATGAAATAATTTGACCAGACAAGAGGAAGATCTCTTTGCTAAGACTTGATGCAAAATTATTCTCATGACTGAGTAGAATTTCTTGTTAATAACTACAATATTTCTAAAACATAGCCTTGTGAAAGTTTGAAATGGTGATATATTGTGATCTCTTACACCTTGCATTTTTGAAATGAAATTTTCCTCAAAATATGAAAATTGCAAGTTGTTAAAAGATGTTGTTTGAGAGCAGTGTAGATTACTAGTACATTAATTGTCTTTGAGACTTTTATTATTTTATATGTTTAGAAAAAAAAATTAATCTCTCTTATTCAATGTTTATTTGAATATCTCATCTTTCTCATGACATTTGTTGAAGTTTCATGTAAAAATTCTCAATTTTTATTTTGATATGAAGAGGAAGCTGAAAAAAAACTTCCTCAAGAGGCCTTAACATCACATTTGGAGTTAATTATCCCTTAAGCGCTAAGAAGCCCTTGAATGGCTTTTGTCAAATTAACATTTTATTTTGATATCAAAATCTCTTGTGTGATATGGTAGACTGGAAATTGTAAAGAGTTTAAATATGAGATTCAGTTATTTATGGTATGCTGCATGTAAATAAACAGATTTCTTCATAACAACAACAAAACTTTATTTGCATTTAAGTTAATAAACAAATTAATACGAATAAAAATGTTTCTTAATAACTGAATGGCTTTGAGGAAAAAGAAACTTTGTTTTTGAATGTTTTTGAATGTAGTGTTGAGGGTAACTGTTATATTATATTACTATATATTCTATGTTATTATTATTATTATTTCACTCCAGGTTAATCTACAACGATATAAAAGATTATTGTCCAAAACAAATGACCATGAATCCTTAACAAGAGAATTAAAGGTCAGTGATAGAGCCAGAAGTTAATAAAATTTTGAGATCTATCTTGGTTTAGTTTGTATTCATATGATTGCTAGTTGTAATTATTTTATCCCCCATGGCTTGAAAAAAAAGACATCTGATGATGTTTTGTTCAGCATGCATTTTTATTGCTATTTTTGTAAACCCTTTACACCCCATAATTGCCTACATTTGTAACTTTMAATCAATTTTCTTTTTCTTATCTTTCAAATGTCTGTTCTAATTTGTTACTGTCTTATAGTAACTGCTATGTCTTAAGTGTGTCCAACCTACTGTCATGACTTTTCTTTACTTAGGACTTGGTTTTGTTCTCTCTTACAACACCACTACAAGATGATGTTGTATTTACTGTTCCTGTTAAAATTGTATCAGATATTTTAGCAAATGTAAGTCAAAACATTAAATAGCATATCATCTATTAGTATCATCATTGTGAAAGTCCTACACTGTAATTGTTATTATCAACATTATTCCTAAATTTATTTGCTCACTTTTCATGCTGGTCAACTCTTCTTATTTTTATTGGCATCAGTGGTGATTATATCAATCAATTATTAATACATTATCATTTTAATCATTGTTGTCATCAAGTATGATTGATTTTCATCAAAATTATTTTGCATTTAAGACTGTGTTCTTSCCAAGCCACATGGTTTTTATGTAATTAAATTTACTCCTTGGTTGAATTTATGCATTGATGATATTTTATTACTGAGGGGAACAGCTGCCATTTCAATGTTGGTAGAGAAAGATCAAGAGGAAAATTATTTTTTCAATTGTCATTGTTCTATATTCACTATACAATTTTGATGATATAAATTGTTATTACAAAACCATAACCAACAACAATGATTTCAGAAATGCATTCAACATGCATTTAGCATCAATTTTGTTATGTATTAAGACTTCTTTTCAGTTACAGTTTCTCTTTTTGAAMTTATATTTTCTTGTAATATTTTATGTTTCATTATGGTTCTCAAAATTTGTTTTGTAGCATTGTGAGACATTTGGTGAAGCTGCACAAAAGAAGTTAATAGTGGTAAATATTGAGATTAGAAAGATATACGCTATTCAGCATAGACAAAGGTGTCTCCCATCAGATAAATAATTTAAATGTTTCCTATCAAACAACAATGAATCATTTGGTTCATTACTGTTGTCATGACTACACACCTTGACCACACACCTTTAAGGTCCTTTACTAGAGTCATTTAAACAACAGCTTAGTTTGTATTTTTAAAGTATGTGATATTTGCTTCTTTTATGAATGCTAAAAATTTATTTTCTCAATAAAACTGGGATTAGATGATAAGTRTTATAATGTCTATTTTTAAAAAAAGCATAGTCCACTGGCTAAAGCTCTCATGAATTTATATCAAATCCTGTCATTTTATCATCTGAGATACTCCATGACAAACTGACTTATTGCACATAAAAATCTCCTTGGAGCTAATGTAGTATTGACAGGTGATGAAAATAATTAATGAACAGCAATGTTTTGGAGGAAGAGACTATGTATCCATGGCTTATTGTTAAATTATTCTTGTCTTTTTAGGCTCTTGCACCAGTATTAGAATACATTCAACCATCGCCAGAAGTCTGTAGTTTCTTCAGTAAAGTTAGTATAATGATGATGATGGTGATGATGATGACTATG